CAAGCGAGTCTCCTGCCTCCGCCTCCCAAGTAGCTGGGACCACAGGCGCCCGCCACAACGCCCAGCTATTTTTTGGTTGCAGCCATCATTGTTGTTTTGGCAGGTCCGGGCTGGGGATTCGAACCCGCCACCTTAGGTGTATGGAACTGGCGCCTTAGGCGGTTGAGCTATAGGCGCCGAGCCTGGGGGGTAGGTCTTATTTTTGGGGAAACATGGTACTAGTTTCTCTTCACATGATTCTGTTTGAAGGGTCGGGTTAGGGGGTCTTACTTGATGCCCAGAGATGGAGGCCCTTCCTCTGTTTCCTGAGATGGTTCTTGCCCCCGGGTATCCAGGAACAGACTTGAATGGCTTGTGGGATGGGAGCTATCCTTGGGGTGCCAGGGGCCTAATCCCTATAGAGGTCTAATGCTTGCAGTGTCTGTTAAGTTCTTGTGCTTTGGCTTGGCGCCTGTGGCTCAAGTGGCTAAGGCGCCAGCCACATACACCTAAGGTGGCGTGTTCGAATCCAGCTCGGGCCCGCCAAACAACAATGACTGCTGCAACCAAAAAATAGCCGGGCATTGTGGCAGATACCTGTGGTCCTAGCTACTTGGGAGGCTGAGGCAGGAGACTCGCTTGAGCCCAGGAGTTGGAGGTTGCTGTGAGCTGTGATGCCACGGCACTCTACTCAGGGAGACAGCTTGAGGCTCCGTCTCAAAAAAAAGTTCTTGTGCTTCAGGGTCCTTAGACCTGAGTTTTTGTTTTCTGTGTCACTAAGGACTGTTACCAACATCATCTCCAATTTCATTTTTTGAGTAAACTTGTATGTCTTCAAGACTCAGAGCAGGAGGGGAGTCTGTTTCCTAAGCCCAGGGTCAGTCTCCTAGTGTAATTTTTCTTAGTGGCTGATTCAATTAGATGGAAGCTAATGAGTTTGCAAATTGTTTTTGGAAAGAAAATGGAAGAGTGAAAAGTCTTGGGGTGGGGGGCATTTTCCCTCATCCCCATTTACAACTAGCCCTGAATTGAGTGGGACACCCTTCTGTTACTGGATAGCGCCACCCGCTGCATAAAGAGGTAGTGTTTCTAGTCCTTTGAAAGTGTGCTGAGGTCCAGGGTTGGGTTTCCTTAGGGATTGGAAAATAGGACAAGCTCTTGTGGGGTGGAGAGTGAGGGTGGTGTCTTGGCTTTGTTCCAGCCGCCAGTCTGGATGTGTTGGGCCCTGCTGAGCTCTTGTGGGCAAACGTGGGGAGGCTGGCTCCACAGAGGGGGTCACAGCCCTGCATTGAGGGCAGCCACCAGCTCAATCTTCAGCCACTTTCATGGATATGGGAATGGTGTGTCAAAGCCTTGCATGGATATGGGAATGGTGTATTAAAGCCTTGTATGTGACAGCCTCCCAACTCGAAGCTGGAAGAGTCTCCAGGGTGGCAGAATTTGGACAAACAGCAATGTCTTGGGATTGTGGGACTGTTGGGTGCTGGGAGTATAGTGTGGGTATAAGGTGTCTCTGGATGCTGGAATGTGCTACAGTGGGCGCCAGGCCTTTAGGCCAGGGGTGTCATGTTGCAGGGCAGTATGGGTGCAGATCAGGAATGTTGAGAGGACAACAGGCTGCTCAGGTAGGGTCAGGGCTTGGGAGGGGTTAATGGAGGCAAGTGAAGTTCAACATTGGTCCTTCTTTCTTCCAGCGGGGATCTGACGAGCTTTTCTCTACTTGTGTTACTAACGGACCCTTTATCATGAGCAGCAACTCGGCTTCTGCAGGTAATGCCATGACTTGGCCCGGGCCTATAAATAGTAGCTTGAGGCCACAGCCAGAGCCCTACCTGATTTGTGGTTGTTTTCCCTTGTTCAGATCCTGTACTGCCACCCTAAATGGGACTTGACTCAGTGCCACAGCTCACACCGTTTGTGCTATGGCGCATTCTCAGCATGCCGTGCAACAGTCCATCCCCGCCCTCCCACCCCCAACCTGGATTTGGATTTGTAGGGGTGGACTGGGATAAACTAACTGTGGCAGGCTTTTTTTTTTCTTTCTTTTTTTTTTTTTTGAGACAGTCACCTTTGCCCTTGGTAGAGTGCTATGGCATCACAGCTCACAGCAACCTCCAACTCCTGGGCTTAGGTGATTCTCTTGCCTCAGCCTCCCAAGTAGCTGGGACTATAGGCGCCTGCCACAACGCCCAGCTATTTTTTGTTGCAGTTTGGCCAGGGTCGGGTTCGAACCCACCACCCTCAGTATATGGGGCCAGTGCCCTACTCACTGAGTCTTTTTTTTTTTGAATGACCGAAACAAAAACACCTAAAACTGCAGTTTTGGGAACCACTTGGGGCGGCACCTGTGGCTCATAGGGGTAGGGCACCTGCGCCTTATGCCAGAGGTGGCAGAATCAAACCCAGCCCTGGCGAAAAATTGCAAAAAAAAAAAAGAAAAGAAAGGAAGAACCACTTATTCTTGCCTGTCTTGTATCTCTCTTCAAACTTGACTTTGGCCTCCCATTGGGCCTTGAGTTTAAGAGCAGAGTTTGTGAAGACGTCCTTGTTTTTTTTTGTTTTTTTTTTTTGAGGCGGAGCCTCAAGCTATCCCCCTGGGTAGAGTGCTGTGGCATCACGCTCACAGCAACCTCCAACTCCTGGGCTCAAGCGAGTCTCCTGCCTCAGCCTCCCAAGTAGCTGGGACCACAGGCGCCCGCCACAACGCCCAGCTATTTTTTGGTTGCAGCCGTCATTGTTGTTTGGCGGGTCCGGGCTGGGGATTCGAACCCGCCACCTCAGGTGTACGTGGCTGGCGCCTTAGCCAGTTGAGCCACAGGCGCCGAGCCAAGACGTCCTTGTTGACGACAGTTTTGTCCAAGGGAATATCCACAGAGTACCTTGTGGGCATGAGGTGATTGTAGTTATAAACTTTTACAAAAGACTTGATGTTTGATCGCTTGGCAATCTTCTTGCCCATGGCAGCTGTCACTTTGCAGAGATAGTGGTCAATTCCAGCCACCAGAGCATGGCTGTAGGGGCGGTCTAAAGTGCCATCACCAATGTTCTTCACGATAATGGCTTTGTGTCTGGAGTAGCGTCCAGCCAAGACCAGCACCACTTTCCCAGGTTTCATGAATTTGCCCATTTTGACAGCAACCACCAAGGCCTACAGCAAAAGCCCCCCCCCCTTTTTATTTTGGCTTCTTAAATTTTTCTTTTCTTTTTTTTTTGAGGCAAAGCCTCAAGCTGTCACCCTGGGTAAAGTGCGGTGGCATCACAGCTCACAGCAAGCTCCAAGTCCTGGGCTCAAGCGATTCTCCTACCTCTGCCTCCCAGGTAGCTGGGACTATAGGCACTTGCCACAACACCCAGCTATAGTTTGTTGTAGCTATTGTTGTTTGATGGGCCCAGGCTGGATTTGAACCCGCCAGCTCAGGTTTATGTGGCTGGCACCTTAACTGCTTAAGCTACAGGCACTAAGCCAAACTTTGTTTTATTGATTTTTTTTTTTTTTTTAGAGGCAGAGTCTTTGTCGCCTTCAGTAGAGTGCTATGGTGTCACAGAACCTCCAGCTCTTAGGCTTAGGCAATTCTCTTGCCTCAGCCTCCTGAGTAGCTGGGACTACCGGCTCCTACACAAGGCCTGGCTATTTTTTGTTGCAGTATGGCCGCAGTCAGGTTCGAACCTGCCACCGGCAGTATGTGGGGTTGACACCTTACCCACTGAGCCACGGGCACCACCTGTTTTTTGTTTGTTTGTTTGTTTTTGAGAGAATGTCTCACTGTCTCACCCTGAGTAGAGGGTCGTGGTGTCATAATTCGTATTCTCTTTAAATTTTTGGACTCAAGCAATCCTGCCTTACGCTCTTGATTAGCAGGGACTACTGGCACCCTCCATAACACCTGGCTGGGTTTTTCTATTTTTATTTACTTTTTTGGGACAGACTCACTCTCACCCTGAGTAGAGTGCTAAGGTGTCATAGCGCACAGCAACCTGAGACTCATGGTCTCAAATGATTGATTCTCTTGCCTCAGCCTCCCAGGTAGCTGAGATTACGGGTGCCTCCCACGTCATCTGACTAATTTTCCTATATTTATTTAGAGTCTCATTTTATTGCCCTTGGTAAAGTGTCATTGCATCACAGCTCACAGCAACCTCCAACTCCTGGGCTTAGGCAATTCTCTTGCCTCAGCCTCCTGAGTAGCTGAACTACAGGCACCCGCCACAATGCCCAAATATTTTTTATTGCAGTTTGGCCAGGGCTGGGTTTGAACCCACCACCCTTGGTATATGGGGCCCACGCCCTACCCACTGAGCCACAGGCACTGCCCAGTTTTTTAGTTTTTAGTAGAGATGGGGATCTCACTTTTGCTCTCAGGCTGGTCTCAAACTCCTGAGCACAAGTAATCCACCTACCTAGGTCTCCTAGAATGCTGGAATTATAGGCATGAGCGACCATGTCTGGCCTAACCCTGGCAGTTTTGGCTTGAGTCTCTGGGTTCCCACACAGCTCCCTGGGAGCCCAGGTGAGACTAGGAGGACAGAAACAGCTTCTCTGCCTCCTTGGGGGACATGTGGCTTTGTGGGTCTCACCCTAGCTCCTCTTTTCAGCGAATGGAAATGACAGTAAGAAGTTCAAAGGGGACAACAGAAGTGCTGGTGTACCCTCCAGAGTGATCCACATCCGCAAACTCCCAAGTGACGTCACTGAGGGAGAAGTCATCTCCCTGGGGCTGCCCTTCGGGAAGGTGACCAACCTCCTAATGCTGAAAGGGAAGAACCAGGTATCTGCTGCCCTGGCAAGCCTGGGTTCCCTCACTGTGATCTGTGGGCAGGCATGGGTGGGGTGGCTTATCCCAAGGCTCTGGCCCACTCACAGCCTCTTCTCACAGGCCTTCATTGAGATGAATACTGAGGAGGCTGCCAACACCATGGTCAACTACTATACCTCAGTGACTCCTGTGCTGCGTGGCCAGCCCATCTACATCCAGTTCTCCAATCACAAGGAGCTCAAGACCGACAGTTCTCCCAACCAGGCGGTATGTCATCTGCTGTTGTGAGATGGGGGGGGTCCCATAGCCAAAGAGGCCATGAGGGTGGGTTGGGCTATGTGAGTATGGGGACTCATGGCAATGCCTCCTACAGCGGGCCCAGGCAGCCTTGCAGGCAGTGAACTCAGTCCAGTCAGGAAATCTGGCTTTGGCTGCCTCAGCTGCTGCCGTGGATGCAGGGATGGCAATGGCTGGGCAGAGCCCTGTGCTCAGGATCATTGTGGAGAACCTTTTCTACCCTGTGACCTTGGATGTGTTGCACCAGGTGAGCTGGTCAGGTCTGGATGTTGGTGGCAGAATACTCACCTTGGGGTGGCTGGGTTGATGGGTGCTGAGTAGAAACTCATGGCTCTTGCTTGGGCATTGTAGATCTTTTCCAAGTTTGGCACAGTTTTGAAAATCATCACCTTTACCAAGAACAACCAGTTCCAAGCGCTGCTGCAGTATGCAGACCCCGTGAGCGCTCAGCACGCCAAGTTGGTGAGTGGGGATCCCTGGGACACCTTCCCTGGGACCTGGCTGTGGCTTACCCAGCCCCTCCTTGCAGTCCTTGGACGGGCAGAACATCTACAATGCCTGCTGCACTCTGCGTATCGACTTCTCCAAGCTCACCAGTCTAAATGTCAAATACAACAACGATAAGAGCCGGGACTATACTCGCCCAGACCTGCCCTCTGGGGATAGTCAGCCCTCGCTGGACCAGACCATGGCTGCCGCTTTCGGTACGATGCTGCCTAGTGTGGCACTTAATGTGTGCAGAAAGATGCATAAAGGGTTACTCTGAGTCAGGTCTTCTGAGCAACTCGGGGGCCTGGCTACCCAAAGCTGGGCACCTAGGCTGCATGTGCAGGGGACAGGCTGCATCGCTCAGTCAGTGCCCAGGTGGCCCCAGTGGTGTGTGGCCCTGGGCTTTGTACCCAGGAAGACTTGGCTCCTGTGTTCCTTGCACAGCCAGCACAACATAGTCCAGTGCACCCCATGTCTGGACACATGGCTCCCCATCCCCCCCACAGAGCAGCGGATCTGCCCGCGAAGGCTCTCCTGGGGGGTTGCCCACCAGCCGGGTTTGGGGCTCACCCAACACGCACGGCGCTTGCTCGCGGTGGAGGTTGTGGGTGCAATGATTAGTGTCTCATTTATTTCTAGGTGCACCTGGTATAATCTCAGCCTCTCCGTATGCAGGAGCTGGTTTCCCTCCCACCTTTGCCATTCCTCAAGCTGCAGGTATTCAAACACTTGATCTTGATCCCCCACAGCTGATCTGCATGCCCACACCACCTTTCCAAGTAGCTCGCTTCCATGGGCAGCCAGTGTGGGCTGGCTGGCCTCTCTGGCCATGGGCCTTTCCCGGGAGAGGGGCAGTCAACACAGGACACCTGCTCCACAGAGGAAGCTTATACAGGGCAGGCAGAGCAGGGCTGTAAAAGCTCAGGTATCCGATGTTGGTGTTGGCAAGAAGCCACTAACTGCACAGTCTTTGTGGTCTGGTTCCCTTCAAGCACTTCCGGGGCGAGCTCGAGGACCGACAGTGGTTGGAGGGATGTGTCCCTAGTAGATTGAATTTGAGTGCCTGGTAAGCGAGTGTCCTCCCAGGCTGAGCAGCATGAGCCAGCGGCAGCAGCGGGCACATGTGTGCGTGGCCAGTGCCTTCCCGCTTCCCTTCTGGGCTGGGCAACCTGCCCAAGTGCTGACCATGGACGGAGCAGTGTGGGCCCGTCCTGTATGCCTCGTCTGCATGGAGGAATTGGCACCGGCATGCGCACGGCCGGGCGCATCCTAGGACAGGCCCTGCTTGCAGAGGGCCCGTGTCTGCATAAACGGAACTGGAGCTTTTTTGTGCTGTCTGGGCGCATGCAGATGGGTCCAACCCCAGCACAGTGTCCATGCTGTGTGAGGAGAGGTGGGTGTGCTGGTGCAGGAGCCAGTTGGTGTGGCTGTGTGAGGAGTACACCACAGGCACCCTGGGTAGAGCCAGAGGCGCCTCCCGTCATGGTTCCTTTATGCATGAGGACGGGAAAGTGTCTGTTCTCTTGTTGGTAAAATGAGGGCATTACTGCTCATTTCCTGACTACCTCTTTCTTTGCAGGCCTTTCTGTTCCTAATGTTCATGGAGCCCTGGCCCCCTTGGCCATTCCATCGGCGGCGGCGGCGGCGGCAGCAGCAGGCCGGATTGCTATCCCAGGCCTGGCAGGGGCTGGAAACTCTGTCTTGCTGGTCAGCAACCTCAACCCCGAGGTATGTGGGTATCTCTTGCAGGCTGTTTCCCAGAGAAGCACGCAGGGGTTATTGTGCTTGGTCTTGGGTCTTGCTGGCCATGCTGGAGAGCAGGTGTGGCTGCTGGGTCAGCTTCGAGTGCCTGCCACACCGATCTTGGATCAGCGCTGTTCTCCCTACCGTGTCTGCAGTCGTGTCCCATGCAGCCCACTCTGCTGACATCACTCACATATATCCTCCTTTCCCAAGATTGCTTTGAGTTTTCCTGTTTTCTTTAACAACTTGATTTTGTGTTTTCCAATTCTATAGTAATTCAGAGTTGACATATTTTTCATTGTTCATGACAATCAAAAAATCATTCAGAGTCAAGCAGGGTACAGTTTACAGACCCAATGTGTGCTCTGTTCCTCTGGACATGCTTGGGCCTGGATAGCCCCTGAGCAGCAGATGCACATGTCAGCTTTCTGTATTTGTCAGAGTGGCTGAAGTTGGCTCAGAGAGCTTGGATGAGATAATAAAGGCTCAGAATATTTAACTCTTGATTGATGGGATTAACATTTAATCAACATTTCAGACTTCTTTTATCTGACAATTCCTGTGACTTTCTCTTGAGGCTTCCAGGCAGGGTGGTACTCACCTCCCACCCACTCCTGCCTCCTGCCTCCTTGTCATGAGCTTGTCACGAGCTTGTCACTATCCATCCAGCTTGTCCTGAGTTAGATTACTCCTAGTGAAGCCGTCAACTAACAGACTCAACTCCACTTCATTGCCTGTGTAATCGTGGTTAGAGACTTAATCTATACCACAGCCGCAGGGGACTGCACTGTCACCTGGCCCAGCAGGTGCACTAACCCTGTACCACCATGAGGTGAGGTTGAGCTTCTCTGGCTCTAACCTGGAGTGTGGGATTGGGCTGCCCCCTGGGGGCAGCTTTGCTCCTTTCAGATTGGGGAGTGGTGTGGAATTTGGCCTTTCTGGAAGACCACTGGGGCAGTATCGTCTCCTGCGTGCTGTGTGAGTGAAGATGCTTTTTTCTTTTATTGTGTTCCTTGAGGTAAACCTGTTAACTTGTAATGTGTGTAGAGCGTGACTGATGGACACTACCTGATTTTCTTATGTATTTACTGACCTGTGTTTTTTTGCTACTTTTTTTTCTTTTCTCCCCTTCCCCTTTCCCTATTTTTTTTCTTGCCCTGATCCGGAATTTCTTTGCCAACTGACTGCACGGTACTTCTGCTTCCTGTTGTTGCTTGAAACAAAACAAAAACATAAATAAATAAAAAAACAAAAATTCCCCCTCAAACCCTGCTCTCCGGAAACCAACCTGCCCTTGAATATTAACATCCTGACAACTTCATCATCCATCAACCACTGCACGCCTGCGGGGACTGTCTTCCTCGTGGTGGACGATTGGCAACTCGCCCCCCTTGACCTCTCCCTCTCCCCTGTCCCTCCGCTGCCTTGCTCTGCTGTTCTCTAAAGAGAGTCACACCCCAAAGCCTCTTTATTCTTTTCGGTATGTTATTATTCACACTTTTATTACCTTTTTATATACCTTGTTTTCATTTAATTGAGGTTATTTTTTTATGCCCTGAGATGTACTATGAGTTTGCAGTTTGGCATTCTGATGCTCCCTGGCATTCTGCCTCATTACATGGTTTGCTTCCGGTTTGCATATTTTATTTCAGTCCCTTAGATACGCATGGTTTATCACCCTGCATGCTTTTCAGAGAGTTAAACATGTGGGTAGCATGCGAAAGTGATCATTCTTTGGCAGTTTATCTGTCCCTGGAGTTTATATGACTTTTGCTGAACTCATTTGCTCCTGTTAATGTGCCCAGTGGCTGCTAGATGCAGGCTCCCCAGTGGCAGAATAAGCAAACCCGGTAGGGCTGAGCCAAGCATTGTGGGGGTGTGCAGGGTCTAGGAGGGGTAGATGGGGAGATGGGTGGGTGTCAGGGACTCAGAGGCTCCCTCATCCCTGAACTTTTGAAGGCGTTTACGGTGACGTGCAGAGGGTGAAGATCCTGTTCAACAAAAAGGAAAATGCCCTGGTGCAGATGGCCGATGCGAACCAGGCCCAGCTGGGTAAGGCCTATGGGGGTTCCAAAGGTCAAATGGGCATGGGTGCTGTGTGTTTACCTGGGCACTAAGTCATGGCTTGTCCTTTGTCCCACTGTCCCCAGCCATGAGCCACCTGAGCGGGCACAAGCTGCATGGAAAGCCCATCCGAATCACACTATCAAAGCATCAGAATGTGCAGCTGCCCCGTGAGGGCCAGGAAGACCAGGGTCTCACCAAGGACTATGGCAACTCACCTCTGCATCGCTTCAAGAAGCCTGGCTCCAAGAACTTCCAGAATATCTTCCCACCCTCGGCCACTTTGCATCTCTCAAACATCCCGTGAGTCCCTGGGAGCTTGATGTGGGTGGGTATGACACCAACGGCTCAGAGCTTTCCCTTAGTCATCCTGCCATGCCAGTGCTTGGCCTTCCCTGTGTTTATAGAATGCAGGTTGAGCATCTAGATTAATCTAAAACCTAAAATGTGGGCTGGGTGCAGTGGCTCATGCCTGTAATCCTAACACTCTGGGAGGCCGAGGTGGGTGGATTGCCTAAGTTCACAGGTTCCAGCCCAGACTGAGCCAGACCAAGTCTCTAAAAAAAAATAGCTGGGTGTTGTGGCAGGCACTTGTAGTCTCAGCTGCTGGGGACGCTGAGACCAGATAATCACTTGAGCCCAAGAGCTTGAGGTTTCTGTGAGCAATGATGCCATAGCATTCTACCAAGAGTGATAAAATGAGACTGTCCTCCCTAAATAACCTCTAATTCTAGCACTATGGAAGGCTGAAGCCAATGATTGCTTAAGCTCAGGAGTTTTAAGACCAGCCTGAGAAGGAGCAAGACCCCCACCTCTACAAAAATAGAAAAATCAGTTGTATGTGTGCTGGTAGTCCCAGCTACTTGAGAGGCTGAGGCATGAAGATCACTGGAGCCCAAGAGTTTGAGGTTGCTATGAGCTATGATGCCATGGCACTCTACTCAGGGTGACAAAATAAGACTGTTCCCCACCCCCCCAAGTAAGATGTTCAGAATTCTAAAATCTGAAACTTGTGAATGACCATAAGAGAGGCTAATTGGTAAAACATTTGGGTTCCCCTCCCCCCTCAGATTAATGCAGACATTCAGAAATCCAGTGTACTTGCAGTCCCAGGCATTTTTGATAAGGGTATACTTAACAACCTGTAGTAAACTTTCTGTTTTACTTTACTGTTTTACTTCCTGTTAAACTTCACTTTTTTTTTTTTTTTTTTTTTTTTTGAGATGGAGCCTCAAGCTATCCCCCTGGGTAGAGTGCCATGGCATCATGCTCACAGCAACCTCCAACTCCTGGGCTCAAGCGAGTCTCCTGCCTCTGCCTCCCAAGTAGCTGGGACTACAGGCGCCCGCCACAACGCCCGGCCATTTTTTTTTTGGTTGCAGCTGTCATTGTTGTTTGGCGGGTCCGGGCTGGGGACTCGAACCCGCCACCTTAGGTGTACGTGGCTGGCGCCCTAGCCCGTTGAGCTATAGGCGCCGAGCCGCCTCAGTTTTTTTTCTTTTTTTTCTTTTTAGAGACAGAATCTCACTTTATCACCCTCAATAGAGATAGAGTGCTGTGGTCTCACACTGCTCACAACAACCTCCTGTTCCTGGGCTTAGGCGATTCTCTTGCTTCAGCCTCCTGAGTAGCTGGGACTACAGATGCCCGACACACCCAGCTATTTTTTTTGTTGCAGTTCAGCTGGGGTCGGGTTTATGGTATATGGGGCCCGGTACCCTACCCACTGAGCCACAGGCACTGCCCACCTCAGTTTTTTCTATTTTTAGTAGAGACCAGGTCTTGGCTTTTTTTGCTCAGGTTGGTTTTGAACTCATGAGTTCAAGCGGTCCACCTGTCTCAGCCTCCCAGAGTCCTAGGATTATAGGCATGAGCCACCATGCCCGGCCTGTGTTTTAACTTCAGCGATGATTTTTTGGGGGTGGGGGGACAGAGCCTCAAGCTGTCCCTCCGGGTAGAGTGCTTTGACATCACAGCTCACAGCAACCTCCAACTCCTGGGCTCAAGTGAGTCTCCTGCCTCCGCCTCCCAAGTAGCTGGGACCGTAGGCACCCAACACAAAGCCTGGCTATTTTTTTGGGGGGGGGGGGGTTTGCAGCCATCCTTGTTTGGCGGCCTGGGCTGGATTTGAACCCGCCACCCTAGGTGTATGTGGCTGGCGTCTTGGCCACTTGAGCCACAGGTGCTGAGCCTTAAGTGATAATTTTGTAAAACTTTTTCACAAAAGAAAATTTATGAGGAGTGGCATTACTTTATATTTTTGCTGAATAATTTTTGCTTTCCATGGCTGTTTCACATCATTATGGATGTTCTCTGTCTTAGTTCTGGATCCCTGAAAGGCCCCAGTGCTTTCTCTGAGAGTCACCGTCTAGACTAGGTCACCCTGACCCCGCACATACAGGACAGGGCGGCCCACAACTAAGTGGTTCCCACTCCAACTAAGTGGCCTCCCCTATCTTCCTGCAGGCCCTCAATATCTGAGGAAGACCTCAAGATCCTTTTCTCTAGTAATGGTGGGGTCGTCAAAGGATTCAAGTTCTTCCAGTGAGTATGAGGTGGGCTGTGCTGCTGCCCTCCCCTTGGCTTCTTGTGGTCCATCCTGACCCATGTCTCGTAGGAACGACCGCAAGATGGCCCTGATCCAGATGGGCTCTGTGGAGGAGGCTGTTCAGGCCCTCATCGACCTGCACAACCACGACCTCGGTGAGAACCACCACCTGCGGGTGTCCTTCTCCAAGTCCACCATCTAGGGGTGCAGAGCCCCCACAGCCAGGCTCCCTGGCGACAACTTCCATCATTCCAGAAAAAAGCCACTTTAAAAAGCAGCTGAAGTGACCTTAACAGACCAGAGATTTTATTTTTTTAAAGAGAAAATCAGTTTACCTGTTTTTAAAAAAATTAAATCTAGTTCACCTTGCTAACCTTGTGACGGTGACAGCTCAGGCTCTTGGTGACTGCAGCAGGAGTTTACTGCCCTCTCCCCCATGCCTGGGGCCAGACCATGGGCTGTGCCTTGTCGGGCGTGTTGGGCATGGGGCATACAGGTGGGCATCCCAGACCACAACTCGGCTTTCTTGTGCCTTAGAATCCTGCCTTCCTGCGGCTGCACAGCTACCTGTGGTGTTTTGGGGAGCCAGAGGGGGTTGGGACCCACATTTCAGATAAAGGCACAGCAGCCCCGCAGGCTCCTGCCCAATCATGTGCCTGAGGCTGGCAGGTGCCCTGCACCCAGACACCCCCACCATTTAATCAAGTGACGTGATTCTCCCCCAGCCACCCAGCACCCTCAAGACCCAAGCCAGAGGGCACTGTCCCCTTGCTTCTTCAGCCTTGGAGCTTTTTCATCATAATCTTTGTATTATACGTTGATGCAGTTGCAGACATCTGTGCCTAGCAATATTTCCAGTTGACCAAATATTCTAATCTTTTTTCATTTATATGCAAAAGAAATAGTTTTAAGTAACTTTTTATAGCAAGATGATACAATGGTATGCGTGTAATCTAAATTTCTTTCTTGTGGTATTACCTTGTATACTGTACTTTTTATTTTATTCCTTGTAATTAAGTCACAGGCAGGATCCAGTTTCTGGAGCAGGTGGGGGCCCAGGGAGCCCCAGGTCCTTTCTTAGAAAACCCCAAGCTTCAGGGAAGGGGTGCTGGCCCCGCCCCACCTTTGCCTCCTCTGCGCATAACCTCCAGTTGCCTTATTCCACGCCTTCACTTGTAATCCGCCTAGGAAAACAAGCTCTCTAAAACTTTTTCAGGGTTTTTTTTTTTTCCTTCAAATTTTGGACCAAAGTTTCATTTGTTTTTTGTCTGCCTCTGATGCTGGGACCCAGATGGTGGGACGAAGGTCCTGAGTCTTAACTGTTCTTGCTCCCCTCCAGCCTCTCTGCAAGGATGTCCTTGGGGGTGGGGGGGTGGGGAGGTTCTCCTTGGATCTCTGAATTTCCATAAAGGAGTGTAACAAGGGTGTAAATATTTATAATTTTTTATACCTGTTGTAAGACATGAGGGGCAGCAACACGCGGTTTTTTATGGTGACACACAGATGTATATTTTGATAACAGCAATCCCAATTCCAGGCTCAGTATTGTAACATGGAGCTAACAGTAACCACAAGCACATTCCATTGCCGGTCCCGGATGGCTTGTAATGCAGAAAGAACTCAATTAAAACAATTTTATAACAAACTTTTACCTTTTCTGTAGATCTCTTTATTGCTGTTCACATTGTAGAAGGCCATTGGCCAGTTCTGTACTTGGATTTTGAATAAATTTCTTCTATATCCGTGCTTCAGATTTCACTCTTTATTGGGCCTATTTTTGTCTTCTCTGCTGTTTCTTCCTGTTTGACTTTTTTTTTTTTTTTTTTTTTTTTTTGAGACAGTCTCAACTTGGTCACCCTGGGTAGACTGCTATGACATCATAGCTCACAGCAACCTCAGACTCTTGGGTTCAAGTGATTCTTTTACTTCAGCCTCCCAAGTAGCTGGGACTACAGGTGCCTGCCACAAGGCCCAGCTATTTTTAGAGACCAGGTCTTGCTCTTGCTCATTTTGGTCTCAAACTTAGCTCAAGCAATCTACCCATCTTGACCCCCCAGAGTGTGAGGATTACAGGCATGAGCCACCATGCCAGGACCCCAAACTGGTTTCATTTTTTTTATTTCATTGAGAAAGTATCACTTTGTAGTCGGGTAGAGTGCCCTGGTGTCACAGCTCATAGCAACCTCAAACCTCTGCCTCAGCCTCCTGAATAGCTGGGACGACAGGTTTCTGCCACAATACCTGGCTATTTTTTTGTCTGCCTCTGATGCTCTGCCTCTTGTCCTTGCTCAGGCTGGTGAACTCACTAGCTCAGTCAGTCCACCCACCTTGGCTTCCCAAGTGCCGGGATTACAAGTTTGAGCTATATAGCACCCAACCTTCGGCCATTTTTTTCATCTACTTTTCCAGCTTGAAAGTTTGAGAGGAAATTCTGGAAGGGAAGTAAGGGTTTTTGGGCCTTTGCCCCCATCCCAGGTCATGGCAGCAATAAGGCCACAACCTGCTTTTGTGGCCTTTTGTGGGGTCTAGATGGGTGTGAGATGTGCTTGGCAGGATCCTCCCTCCTGCAGGGCAGGAATCAGCAGTACCAGATAAAACTCAATTCATGAGATTTGCTTCTTTTATTGATTCTTCAAATGTTGACTCCCCAAGTCCCACCCCCCATCCACGAGGGTTCCCCCCACTGCACCCCTCCCAAAACCCCTGTAGGGGCCTGAAAAATGCACCCTGGTCCACTGGGCAAGTTTGCAGTGACAGCCAGATTCAGTCCTGGAACCTGTGGGCCTGCATCTTCCGGTAGTAGCTTTCTACTTCTGCCTCACCAGCTTCCCTCTCCCCCAGCGCCAGGCTGCCTGCATGGTGCCGGACCATTGAATCCCGGCTGGCTGGCCCCAAAGCCCCATCAGCTGAGCCCAGCGGGGGCAGGCCCTCACCTGTGGCCAGGTTGACAGTCGCCACGGCCCCAAACCGAGGCTCCTCCTGGTCCACATCACTGACGGATGAGCCAGGGGATACCCCTGGTGGCCTGGATCCACTGCGGAAGCCACGAGCCAGGTCCCCCAGCTCATACCCACCCTCACCTTCCACAACTTTGGCCCCACCTCCAGCCGCCTTCCATTCCCAGGGTGCATTACCCGCAGACAGGTGGACCACAGGGTGGTGGGGTGCATGTGCGTCGATGGTGACGATGCTGGCTGAGTCTCGGTCCGACGGTGACCGGTACTGTGAGGAGTCGGAGCTGGCACTGGAGGATGAGGCAGTCTCTGCTGCCTTGGGGCCAGCCCCACCTGGGGCCTTAGACATGGCAATCACCTGCAGCAGCCGTGGTGGGTTGGCCACACGGGGCTGTGTGGTGCTGGAAGCCATGGCTGCCCCACCCTTCTCAGCCATCATGAGCCACTTGGCACGAACTGTGGCACTGCTCTTTGGAGACAGGCTAGCCCCTGCCTGCACTCCCTCCTCAGGGATGTGCACCAGGGGTTGTGGCCCTGCCCGTGATGGAAGAATGACCCGGGGCCCAAGCCCTGGCCTTGCCTGGACAGTGGGGTAGAGTGAGGGTGGGGCAGGACCATCTTCCTCCTCATCTTCCTCTTCTTCCTCCTCTTCCTCCTCCTCCTCCTCCTCTTCTTCTGCCATGGGCTCAGTGGGTGCCCGTAAGTGCCCTGGGCTGGCCTCATCGGACAGCCCCAGGCCACGGCCCTCCAGAGACTTCTGCTTCCACTCGCTGATGAGCTGCTTGGATCGAGAGGCATCAAGTGGGACATGGATGGTCATGTGGCGGCGGGCGGGGTCATCCAGTGAGGGTGTGTTGACTCGGGGCAATGTGTTACTGAAGGTCACCATGTTCTCCTTGCCCATGGGGCTGCGTGGAGCCAGCAGGTCCACATCCACGCTGGCCCGCTTTAGGCTGCCCAGAGAGGTCTTCTCCCGGGCCACAGGCCGTGACACACCCTCCAGCCGCCCCGGAGGGCCCAGCTCATCTGTGCTTACAGACTTGTTCTGCTGATAAACTGAATCATGGCCCCGCTGTGTCAGGGCCCGCAGCGCATCCTTAGAGGGTGCAGGGGCCACTGGTTTATCTGCAAGAGGGGCCTGGAAGTTGCCCACTGCATGACAGGCCTGGAGGGGAGAGGAGAGCTAGGCATGAGGCCATGTTCTTGCCACAGGCAATGCACCTGTCACATGGGAGTCTGAGGAGGGGAGGCAAGCTTTTTTTCCAGTGGGAGTCAACTTTGGCCTTAAAGTCAAACACTGCACGTTGGCCAGGTCTGAGTCTATGAGATTCTGACTCCAGCATCCTAACGGCAAGGCACTTCAGAATCCCCTAGGACAGGGCTATGCCTCCCGCTTTCAAATCCCCATTGCTCACCAGGTAGGCAGCGATGCCAGCACCAATGAGAAAGCCAGCATAGACGTCCACAGGGTGGCTGCGGTACTGTGTGATCTGAGTGAGCCCACAGACGCCCGCTGCGATGGCGAAGGCAAACACCAGGATGGGCTTGAGCAGTTTTGTGGTGTCTGAGATAACTGAGTTGAAGTACATCTGGGGGCAGAGTTGGGTAGGAGGTCAGGGAGGCGGGTGGATGGCCACTTGGCAGGAGGTTTGAGGGCCAGACTCACCGACACATAGACTGCGGCAAAGGCTGACAGTGTGGCGTGCTGGGATGGGAAGGTCTTCCTGTAAGGGGGATCCAGCATGAGCCCCGCCTGTTCTGGGGCCCTGACTCCAGTAGTCAGTGCCTCACTTTCCCCATTATGTTCACACAGGGTGAAAGAAAAAGGTGTGGTATGATGTTCCAGCCCAGGGGAGCTGAAAGCCTGACTCACCGTGCAGACAGGATGGCGTGGGTATCATGGCCAGAGCAGATGTCCTGTGTAATGTAGGGGTTGACCTCACATGATGTGCCCAGTAGAGTATAATTAGGTTTGCAGACCGTGAGGAAGAAGGGTGCATGGTAGCCTGTGGCCAGCTGGATGACATCAGTCACCAAGGCTGTGGCACAGAGGCCAAACACGTGGACGCCTAAAGGATAGAAGGGTCAGGGCCGGGCAAGGGAACTGGAGGCCTGGAATGGCCTGACTCTGTTTATGGATTATGGGTAGGGTCAGGGCACCATCCAGCAACTCACCCACAAACCGGACAGTGCGCCGCAGGAAAGAGTTGAAGTTGCAGCCGCCAGCGTTGATGCTGCCCTCGGCCCCACCAGGTCCCCCACCACGGCCCCACAACCGGGACTGCAGACAGTACAGCATGCCCTCGCCAACCATGATCTGCCCAACAGGGATGTGCTCAGGTGGGCTCCCAGCCAGGGGGGAGCCCATAAGCTAGCCCAGCCCCCTGATGCTGGGTACTCACTGAGGCGGCAGGGGCAGCAAAGGCCAAGCTGAGCAGCATGAGCAGTGGGATTAGCTCCTCGTTGGTCTCCACGTATGGCATGGAAAGTGTGCGGTCATAGCACTGGAAGCCCACCTTGGCTGGCTTGAAAAGGTCAGTCAGCTCCAGGAAGTACAGGGACACAATGGAGGATGCCACAATAGGCAGCTGTGGGAAGAAGGCTGGCCAGGGTCACCCTGCACTTCCTGAGTCATCTGTCCATCCCCCTGTAAACTCAGAAATATCCGATTTCATGAACCCATTCATAGATCCAACCAGCGTCAAAGCCATTCTTACTACACCTGTGAATCAATTCATCAATAAGGCGCCAGCCACAAACACCAGAGCTGGTGGGTTCAAATCCAGCCCAGGTCTGCCAAACTACAATGACAACTACAACCAAAAAATAGCCAGGCATTGTGGCAGGCACCTCTAGTCCCAACTACCTGGGAGGCTGAGGCAAGAGAATCATTAAGCCCAGGAGTCGGAGGTTGCTGTGAGCTGTGATGCCACAGCACTCTACCCTGGGCAACAGTTTGAGGCTCTGTCTCAAAAAAAAAAAAATACATAGATTCACAATCCATCCACTCATCCATCCATTTACCTACCATCTGTCCATCCTCTATTCATGTACCCACCCCTCCTCCCTCCCATCCATTCATCTATCCTCCCAACCATCCTTCCATTCATCCATCCTCCATCCTTCTCCAACTATCCACCCTCCATTTATCCATCCTCAATCCTCCATCAATTCTCCATCCATCCATCCTTCCACCCATCAGTCCGTCCTCCCTCCCATCCATCTTTCCTTCCACTCTCTCAACCTTCCTTCCATTCATTCATCATACATCCATCTACCTTTCCAACTTTCTATTCATCCATCCTCCATCCATTCTCCATTCATCTATGCTCCCAACCATACATCCCTCCCTCCCAACATTCCATCCACCTACCTCCCCCAACATTTCATTCACCTATCTGCCATCCTTCATCCATCCATCTCCCATCTATCTACCCTTTGAGCCTTCCATTCATCCATCCTAAATCCATCTTCTAACCACTCATCTATCCTCCATACTCCATCCATACAGTCTCCTAACCATCTGTCCATTCTCCACCCATCCATCATCTGTCCATCTCCACCCACCCATGCATCACCCAGCAATCCATGCATACTCCATCCTACATTAACCCTCCATCTACCCTCCCAACCATCTACCAATCCTCTATTCATCCTTGATCCAACCATCTATTGACCCACCCATTCACATCCATCCACCTATACATCTATTCATTCTACATTTCATATATATATGTATATATATACACACACACACATTCATGAATATACATTCATCTCTTCTCACCAGATACCCTTACCTTCTTGAACAACTTTTAAGCAACAAATATGTATTTGTGATCCTCCTGCCTCTGGGCTTTCCTCTCTCTTCTCCCTAGCTGAGACATGCTTCCTGTAGACATCGACCCTGTTCCCTAGTCCTCCCCAGAGGGATCCTCTCTGGTCCTCAGACCTCCACATGCCAATCTACAACTGAACCTTGAGAACAGCATCTGGCACACCATAGATCCTTACGGAATGAATTTGTTGGGTCTTTCATTCATACATCCTGGTTGTGTGCCCCCCACATGTTGGGCATGGAACACACATAATATTCCTGAATGCTGGCTCCGTGCCTGTGGCTCAAGTGGCTAAGGCGCCAGCCACATACACCTAAGGTGGCGGGTTCAAATCCAGCCTGGGCCCGCCAAACAACAATAACGGCTGCAACCAAAAAA